TACACGCGGACGCACAATTTTACTGACACTTATACACTATCTAAACGCAATAACGCGAAAAACTATTTGCGTTGCCGACGCATCCACAATAAAGGCACCTAAAGATAAAATGGTGGCAGCGAGTATAAGCGTTTACGTGCATTGCTGCCAATGGAGCGAGACTAAAGATGGCAAACGATGGATCTTGACAGAAAGAATTCGGGGGGGAGGCTCGATGCTAGCCTACGAAGCCTACTTAAGTTGGTACTGCAGATTTCATGGCAGAATTCATACCTATAGGGTAAACTGCAGATAAATCTGCAGTGGTTTCGCATGCAGAAATCATTGTAGAAAGTTCTCCAGAGTTTTTTTTTAAGTTTACAGCATACTAATTGAAACATTAAACATTATGAAAAAAATTGGAAAACCTAATAGTTGCCATAGTTTTCGTAAAAAATGAAATTTGCAAGAATTACAACAGTTCTGTTTATAATCCACTGGAAAAAATTAGAGGAAAATTCCAAGTGCAATTTCATGTGGTTTTGTACTTGCAGTCTTCGGAGTTTTTCCCAGTGACATTGAATATGATGATTTGAATGTGGAATTATATATACATGCAAGTCCTCATGCATTTACGGCATGTATAAAAATTCACATTCCTTTATTAGTAAGGCATTAATATAGTAGGGCATATTAATATTATGATGCAATTAAGTCATTAATTTATCCTATAATAAACATTAATAAAAAAAAGAAAATTTATTTCTCTAGATTGCCTACTGCTTAATACTGATGAATTTATAAACATTATTTATCGAATGTTGTGTATATAAACACTTTGGCACTAAATAGATAGATTATTTTTTGTCAGATTTTATAATTAACAAATTTTGTAATAAACAAAATTTCGTAACATTAAAGCACTTACTGGTCAGGAGTTGTACCAATTTGATGGTTATTTGTTAGAAGGTATATAATAGTGGAAAAAAAATGTGTCAATTTATTACAATAAATGCGGCAATTAAAAAGTAAAGTAGACAAATGAAAAAGTATTAATGGAACAACAATATCTTTCAACTTAATTTTAAATTAAGTAATATCAATGGAAAAAATACAACCACATTTATGCAAAAGAGGATTAGTATGTTTAAAGCATTAAACGTTCTTAAATTTACGTGTATAAGTATATCTGTGATTTTATGTCGTACGGAATGAGCTATAACAATTTTGGGTCAAGTTTAAATATACTTGAAACCATTTTTACAAGCCTTTGCGGAGCTAAGATTTGTGTTTTGAGGTATTTCAAATAAATTTTGCAACAATAAACAATGTAAATTTACCAAACATTTTTGTACATCACACTATTTTTTGGAAGAGAATTTCAAAAGACTAACTTATAATATTCATACTTCATGCACACATTTTTATAGTTATTGACTTTCATGCATTGAAAGGATTTATGTAAATTACTATATTATTGTTGTATTATTCAACTACTACATTATTATATGATCAAGTTTTATTATTCAAATGAATTTTTCTACTTGTTTTCTGTTGTTTTCAAGTAAATATCAAAAATAAACGCAATATTTGGTAATGCAACAATTAACACAAAATTTTAGATTATTCATCTATTCATGAATATGACCGAACATTTCTTTACCTGCTGTGTAAAGATCACATACGATTATTATTTTAGCTAACATTTTGAAACTTACAAGCTTATTATTTTGCCATTATAAGCTTGCACACATTGAATTGATAAAGTAGTACCAACATTACAATTCTGCAATTGTTAACAATTCTTTCACAATGTTTTAATTTATTTGAATAATTGTATAATTGTTTTAGAAGCAACGATAGAAATACTAACCTCATGTGCACAACATTTTTCTTGAGAAATATCATATCGTTGGGCTGTTGTTTCCGTTATTGCTTCACTACCATGCAACAAGTATTTTTTGTATTTATGCATTTTGCCGGGATACAATCAATTTATTTCTAAAAACATTAATCCAAATAACAAATGAACACTTATTAGAAGACACTGTTCTCTGAAATCTGGAATTAAGAATTGATAAAGGCCAAGACCGCCTAAGGCTTCATGCACGAAACGAAGCCATTTACTACAAATAACTATAGAGATATTGGAATAGAGCATATATGCTAGAGGTTGAGGGGTGTGGTCTGGTAGCCTGGACTCCCTGGAGCCGTACCATATGTTCTGCATACTCTAAATGTACCCTAACTCCTCAGACCAGGCAGCCTGCTAGCCTTGCTCGTCGGGTCCTCTATTCTAATATCTCTATGGCCCAACGTCATCTTATATTATTATTATATTTAACATGATGTTACAGTAAATTTTCGTACGGTTGACCTTAAGTGTCCCGCGCGCCGGCACCGTATGAGGATAGCGTCAGGTAGAACGCATTGATTGTATTTACTTCTTAGACCTACATAAGTTCAGCGTTAATTTCGTTTGATTCATCAACTTTCGTAAGATTTCGTTCAAAAAAGGATATTTTATTCGATAGTGGTAGATATCAAAGGTCATCAATGTGTTTCTTTGCTTGTGTACGATTTAAGGACGACAAGTACAAAAATTATTTTGTTCAAAAGAGTGATATTTTTATTAGTAAAGAAAAGACATGTATTATACCACAAAATAAAAATGATTTTGATTCAGATCAGTTGTATAGAATATATTATAGAAGCTGTAATTCCAAATGTCAACCACAAAGTGGTTGCTGCAAGTCTTACAAGGGATACATTCTCAGTTTGGGAGGTAAGAGTTATAAGTTTTGTGCATTTTGACCTACTAATATAAATTTTGTGAACGTTCATGTAAAGTAACAGGTCATTTTTTTTTTCTAGAAACTCATGCGGAAGCAGAAAACAGATGCAATGAACGCAGTAAAAGAATTAAATTTAAAAAATGTATAAGCTCGACGTCATCCAGTGATGTGTCTGTTTCTAACAATAAACCGAATGATCGAGTAAGTAAATCCATATATATATATATACATTCGGCAGTATACAATTTCACAAAACAAATTAACAATTACAATTCTCATTGGTAAACATACAAAGAGTATTAAATAAAAAAAAGAATCGCATAATAATTGGTTTAAAATAACAAATAGATCATAGAAATTTAATAGACTTAAGTGTCATAGTTCATATGACACTTAAAATAAATTGTAATTTTTTTTTCGTAATAGTCGTCAATAAACATGCACATGCTTCATCATAATTGACGTATACTTTTATAACCATATTATATAGTATTATAAATCTACTACATAATAATCTTAAAATCATTAGTTATTTTAAAACGTATTGTACAAACAATAAATAATCATGTTTTATACTATAAATGTAATGAGCTGCAAAATTCTCTTTGCATATAAGTCGTATAAGTAAAACTGCACCGTATTTATCACAAGTTCCGTCTTGTATTATCCTTAATCATAAAAAAAAAACATATTTGACTCGTAAAAAATGTAATATTTTCAATGATGATATTTTTTTCACGTATTTAAACAGCAAGTAATTTATCAGTTCTTGTAAGTGAAATGTGTTTGAAAATCAAAAAAGAATTACGTTTGTCATGAATTTATTTGGATATATATTCTATGAGTTTTAATAAACAATGTGTATTTTTTATTAATAACTTGTACGTAACAGTAATGTAGTTTATTTTTGAAGCATCATACAAAGTAATCAATACCTGTGCTGTAAAAAATTTTTAAATAATATAATGCAGAATTATATAACATTGCCGTGAAAGTCATAGAAAAAGAGCATTCTATGGAATCTCAATTGTTTATTGACGTACAAGACTGTACATAATACGTGTTACGGTACTATTACTAAATTGAAATGTTGTTGTAATTAGATGTGTAAAACGTCTGTTATTCCTCTGAGTACAACCCCTACGATGACAAAAGCGAAATCAAAGCCGTGAAATTCAACCACACTCGAACCGCGTACTGGGTACGATGTATTTACTGTATGGCCGAATCTGTAACAGCGCCATCTGCATGAAAAAAACGATGGTACCCTGGTGTCGGGTAACAAGATGACGTACCCTCGTATGGGCTGCAAATTTTTACCATTTTGTATATTAATTTTTACTAATGTTTGGCACCTACAGGATGGGTTCTTCGTAATTAAGGATTTGTTATAAATGTAAAATAATTTTTTTTTCAACAAAATAATGTTGAAGGTGTGAAAAATAATAATTCACATCCATAACAAATCTTTGATCACGAAGCATCTATATTGTAAGTGCCAAAGGTGATTTAAAATTATTTTAAAAATTGTAAACGTTTGCAGTCCATAAGAGGCTATGTAATCATGTTACCTAGCATCATTAAAACTCTTGCTGCTCGCACTTCGGAGTCTAGCTCGAGAATAACTCGCGATCTTTCCCTTGGCCAATAACTGCTGCTACTGCTGCTGCCACGTATCTCCCCTCCCAATTCGTCTCGATTTAGCATTTACTGTGTCTCCTGGTAGACACGTACGCACTCCTTGTCATTTGTCGCTGGCGCTACTATGTCTGCGTGCAGCTCAACTGGTTATTCGTTGGCGTCTTCTTCTCCTCCTCTCAGCGTATATACAGTTCCCAAAAAACAAACAAATTCGAAGAAGATTCAAATATATGCCCTTTGTGTATACGTTGCATCAGCGAGAGCATTTTGGGACTAGGAGGCCATTGTTGCATTTTTACAAATTTAATAATATTATTAATTATAATATTCTTGCAAGTTACAGAAAAATGTATTTCATCTATTTACGTAAATGTTAAGTATTTCCGTGCCTATCAACACGTGCTTTTTCCCTACTGATCTTCTCTCTATTGAGGTTTGATTCTTTTAATTACAATGAGGGCTATTCTGCCACCAGAGGCGCTCGACATCTCATGGGCTACATTATTATGGCTTTTCGTATACCAGCAGTATATATAGGGTTTTCGCACGCGCGTGCACAAAAAAATTGCTGGTATACGAAAAGCCATGTTAATGTACCCCATGAGATGGTGAGCGCCTCTGGTGGCAGAATAGCCCTCATTTTGCACGTGCCCCCCCTCCCTTGTTATACCGTATTTGCAATAGAACTCATTTTAGTTTCCTCCCGTACTGAATACATAAATATAATATAAAGTATAGTACACTTAACGTAGAAGAAGTTAATGTAATGTACTTTAATGATTATTTGCAGATAAATGTTAAACTCAGTCAAGAAAGAGCAAAAAATATGAATCATGAAAAAATAAGACAAACTTATCAAATAAAACAAATTTTAAGCAATAGACCTATGCTAGAGTTGGATGATGAAGAAAAAGAAGATAAGAATTGTGGTAATCCGCATACACCAGAAGCCAAACAGAATAATGCCAAAAATAGAATAAACATGTTACCTACAGTTCTTCTCCGTAATATAAGCATTCCTTCAAGAACAGTTAACGCAAATAATGGATATCAATACAAAAAGTCCCAGCCAGTTTTACAAAATTTGATGAAATCCAAACCATTTGTTTCGAGATGTCGGTCACGGTCTCCTTTTGCGTTACAACCCACATCTTTGCCTCAGTTTCAGTCTCAAATGCGATCGCAATTACAATCACAGTCACAGTCTTCGTCTCGAGCTACGCCTCAATCGCGGTCACTGTCCCGGTCTCGATCTCGATCACGGTCTCGATCTCGGTCCCGGGCTCGATCTCGGTCTCGATCTCGTTCTCAGTTGTGGTCTCCATCTCCAGCTACGCATCGATCGCGCTCAATGTCCCGGTCTCGGTCTCGTTCTCGGTCACGGACTCGATCTCAGTCTCGATCTCGTTCTCAGTTGCGGTCTCCATCTCCAGCTACGCATCGATCGTGCTCAATGTCCCGGTCCCGGTCTCGGTCTCGTTCTAGATCTCGATCTCGGTCTCGATCTTGGTTACGATCTCAGTCACGATCTCAGTCACCGTCTCAATCACGGTCTCGATCTCGGTCTCAGTCACGATCTCGATCTCGGTCTCAGTTAAGATCTGCGTCACGCTCTCGATCACGGTCTCAGTCACGGTCTCGATCTCGGTCTCAGTCAAGATCTGAGTCACGGTCTCGATCACGGTCTCAGTCACGGTCTCGATCTCGGTCTCAGTCACGGTCTCAATCTCGGTCTCAGTCAAGATCTGAGTCACGGTCGCGATCACGGTCTCGGTCTCAGTCAAGATCTCAGTCACGGTGTCGATCACGGTCTCAGTCACGGTCACGATCTCGGTCTCAGTCACGGTCTCGGTCTCGGTCTCGGTCTCGTTCTAGGTCTCGATCTCGGTCTCAATCACGATCTCGATCAGGGTCTCCGTTACGATCTCCGTTACGATCTCCATTACGATCTCCGTCACGATCTCGATCGCGTTCTGCATCTCCGACTTTTTCCCTACCCAGATCACCTCTTCAACATGTTGAAGGTGTTCATGGAAATTCAGACTCATCAGGTGAATTATACAATGCATTTTGCAGCGTTTTCTATTCACTTTATCTTCGATTTCCATAACAATGTATTATTTTTATAGATACTGACAGTGACAACGAAGAAGTGGATAACGATTTCCCAATGCTTTATAAATATCATCGAAGGCTGTATAATGAATATTTGAAACGAGGAGCGCTAATCCGTAATGGTGAGTAAAATTTTTTCTCTCGTACCCTAGAGTAAGAGACGCCTTTTCTCCCTATTTTTCGGGAGACAAGAAACCAATTTCACCCGCTGAAGGATGCGCACCAAACAATTTCGCATATGAGGCATTTCACGTCAAATCGCACAGGCTGCGCGCGAGACCACTTTTCATGCTTTGATTACAGTATCAAATTAATGAGATAGATAAATCGGAGTAAGCATTTCCGACNTTAAAATACGTCGGAAATGCTTACTCCGATTTATCTTCCTCATTAATTTGATACTGTAATCAAAGCATGAAAAGTGGTCTCGCGCGCAGCCTGTGCGATTTGACGTGAAATGCCTCATATTAGTATAGGTATACAATAAGTACTCATGTATACAGGCTGCATTCCGCAAATGTTGGCAATGTTATCAAATACAGCGACAATCTACACACTTGTGTATGTGAGTGTGTGTTTGCAGATTAACTAATTTGTATTATTTAATTACGGAGAATTTTACATAAATATTTCATTATATCTTTAACATATTACTTAACGTAGTGTTACAAAACAATATTCTTCATTTTCTTTTACTTGCGTTCGTGCAAAATGACAAATAGTCTTGGCCTTCAGTATTAAACGTGCTTTTAGTACAGAAGGAATCTTTCGTATTTTGCTGAGTTCATAGGCGCCTATGAATTATGAGCAAGCTCAACCACCAGCAGGACAAGCTGTTACCTAGAGATATAGATATATTATTTAAACATGGTTTATCGGTTAATCTATCATGGCATCTCACCAATACACTTTCATTGTTACTTGTATGTGAGAGAGCGGGAGATTTTAAATTTAAACGATGATTGAGCAACTATCCAAAGAGAACTTTTGCGGTACTTTAAATATAAGTTAATTTTAGAAACTGCTAAAAGAAAATCAGAGTACCAAAACATCTATGCGAAAATCTGAGGTATTCGGAAGATTAGGATTATGCTATATTTAATATTCTGAGCTGAAAACTTGTTTATTTAAGTAGTTATCCTAACTAAATATTGTATTAATACTGTAGACTAGTGCATTATTCCCACTCCAGAACGGTAGAAACATTTTTTGGAAGTTTGAATTTCACGATATTTTTACATTTTAAAATGCTACATTTTATTAGCAGTAACAATGAGTTGTTCACAAATCATAAAAGGTTATGTTATGAAACAATGTAAATAAACCGTATTCAAATAATTTATCTATATATGATCTCATGGTAGCAGCTTGTCCTGCTGCCCTCTGTTGGTGGAGCTTGTACATGATTTAACCTCATACCTATGCAATGGACGCGTATGCGCACTCTAGGCAGTTTACAGTAGTCCAGTAGACGGAGCGATAGAGCGACCGCATCTTTTTTTATATCTTTTTCAATTAAATAATAATCATTCAAATACGTAGTGCGTCTTTTCCTCTGAATATAAAAGAAAATCGTATACGCAACTCGGGATAAAAATAAGCCTCCTCTCCAGCGAAAATGCAACCCTCGGCTTCGCTTCATATGGCATACGCAGAAGAGAGAGCCTACTTTTTTCCCACGTAGCATAATATACCATTTTTTATATACCAATAAACATCTTCTATACCTCACTATCGTCAGACTCAAACAACTGACAGCCTATGTAAAATATTTTATGCTTCAGAGATATGCTTTTTTTGTAATCAATTTTTTTGTTACCGAAATCTAATACATATTGACACACATTATCATATACTTTAACATGTACAAACTTGCGCATGCATATACACTCACATTTACTGCACACACGCATGCTCGCACGTCCTACAATAAAAGCACACGCCACTCATTTAGCAACGATTTTTTTGATGATGAATTATTTAGGCTTTCGAATGGAAAGAACATAAATGCAAGTTATATATTTTTAGATAATCCACGATGGCCTGTAAGAAACAGCATAACTAATGGGAAGGTAGGATCCTACAATCATATTGAATTTATTGAAAACAGAGAAAAAATAAATTATTGTTTATTATCTGTTAGATATGTCTAGGGCTTAATGTGATAGTTGACTCAGAGACTTGGGAGCTAATACAAAAAAAGGAGTTTGGAATTTTTATAAGGGAATTAGCGACCACAATTTTCAAAGGAAAATTAGCTTATAGCTGTATTGATAAGTCAAAGGTAACAAATAATTTGGATAAACCCATCAAAATGTGTTGTCCCCAGAAAATGGAGCTGTTCTTATGTAAGTTTAATAAATATCTATTTCTTCTGTACTCGCTTTATGCTGCAATTTGAAACAACGCCACCTGCAGGGGAAAAGATATCGATACTAAGTAACAAGAATATACAGCATCTTATGGACAATGATCTGTTACAAGCGTTTGATTCAACAATATTATATATTACATAACTATCGTAAGTTATTTGAGTGTTGAGTATACTTTCGAGCTGAAAAATATCTATTTAACAGTGCTCTGAAAAAATGTTTTTTGAATAGCATTTTTTACCATCAAAATAATATTTGAGACTGGAAGAACGTACTTAAGTTGTTAAAGATACATTAGTGTTGAAATAAACACTTCTAACAGATCATAAGATACTGTGTATTCTTGTAAGTTAGTATCGACATTTTTTCCCGCGTAGGTGGCGTTGTTTTAAATTGCTGCACGAAGCGAATATAAAATAAGGATACTTACTGTAAATGATAAATTCATCTGAAACTTCCAAATCTTCTGATAGTAAAATTATATTATATTATTATTAAGAAGAATTTTTACAATAATAACATAGGCGCTAGGTGCGTAACGCCAACACCCTTTATCGGAAAAAGATTTTAATAGTAGGGTATTCAAAGCTATAATGATATGGTGAAATCATATGAAATGGACTGGCTAAGTAGAGCCTATTTAAGCCCGTAAGAGCAAGAGAAAGGACAATTCCGCTCAACGCTCTCTCTCGCGCTGGCACGAGCTCAAGTGGATATTGTACTATATATGCCAGTACTCAGTCAAAAATGTATAGCTATAATTATAGTTATAAATGATAGCTGTAATTACTGCTATAATCGCCTATAATTATAGCTATAATGACCTACAGAGTAGCTATAGTCTAATATATAATTTGTAAACATTTAAAGCTACTTTGTAGGTGATTATAGCTATAATTGTAGGCGATTATAGCAGTAATTACAGTTATCATTTATAACTATAATTATAGCTATACATTTTTGACTGAGTAACGTGATTTCAGCTTTAATGAAAAAAAGTTCTGTTACAAAACATAAAGTGCCGGATTCAACAATTACAAATACAGCACACAATTAGACAAAGATTAAAACAAACTAGCACTGTGTATAAGATTATGATATATCGTTGCAGCTTCGACTACCCCGCTATCAAAATAAGTATCCACAAGCTGGCGCAGCAGCTTCCCGGCAGGGATACTTGCCTAGCGTTCACTAGCATGACAGTAACATTTATGTATATCATTCTAGTAACAATAAATGAACATCTTAACAACGATGAACGTTACAAAAGTAAAGAGAAAAGAACAAAGCAGTACATGGTGTCGAAATCTGTCCGAAAGTTAAGCTCCTACATAAGAGATTTGAGACGACGCAAGATAGCAGCAACAACAAATCAATGAAAGTTGTAATAATAGTATTCGGGAAAACAGAAATGATGTATGTTTATAATAAAAATGTTTGTTTAAATCAATATACTACAAAAATTTATTACACTAAATTAATTAATTTTCTATGAAAGTAACATTTAAAAAATTTTTTTTTATCATTCAGTAAGCCTTGTTTATGTTAAAAAATGTAGAAGTAATTATAACATTATGTAATAATGCTATAATTTCCAACAATAATATTAAAAAGTTTAATTACTAACTGATAACGTTGGATTTAGGTTATAATTGTAATATTTCCAACTTGCCAGGCTGATAAGTTTTTCCAAACGTGATCATGAGCTTGTATCTGTTTCTAGAAACGTAATTCTAAAGAAATTCATTTCAAATTTTGTAACAAATTTATAACACCCTAAATAACGTTTATCCTCTATTAAAAAACCAACATTTTGAGTTAAAACTTGTAAATGTTTCTGCTCAAATGACTTGTATTTTTTTTTTAACAAGCATGACTTGTATTTTTTGCGAGTACTTGATTAGAAAAAAAAGTCATTTCTTGGCTTGTTCCAACATCTTTAAATGCTCTAAATGACCTCAATTTGATACAAAAAAAAAATTTCTGTCCGTTAAGGCTTGTAATTTTTTCCGCTTGTGGGACTTAAATTTATTTAAACAAGCATGATTTGTAATATTTACAAGTACTTGATTGGAAAAATGTATTTTTTTAACCTTGTCCAAGCGTTTTTAAATGCTCTAAATAACCTATGTTTAATATTAAAAGATGTTTTTTTTTTTTGTTTTTTTTTGTTGAGACTGGTAATTTTCTTCGCTCGTGGGACTTAAATAATTTTTTTCAAGTGTGACTTGTATAGTTTGCAAGGACTCAATAGAAAAAATGGTTTTTTTTACCATGTTCAAACATCATTAAATTCTCTAAATGACCTATATTTATCATCGGAAAAAGCTTCCTTTTTTTTTTCTAAGACTAGTAATTTTTATCACTCGTGAGACTTGTATTTTTTTTCAAAAAGCAGGACTTGTATTTTTTGCGAGTACTTGATAAGAAAAAATGTCCTTTTTAACCTTATTTAACGTCTCTGAATGCTCTTAATAACCTTTATAATATAAAAAAAAGCATTCTTTTCGTTGAATTTTGTAATTTTTTCCGCTTGTGAAACTTGTATTTTTTTTAAAGAAGTAAAAATGTTTTTTTTTTTAACCTTGTTAAAACGTCATTAAATGCTTTAAATGACTAATATTTGATATTAAAAAAAGCTTTTTTTTGTTGAGACTTGTAATTTTTTCCGCTCGTGGGACTTGTATTTTTTTTCAACCAGCATGATTTTTATATTTTGCAAGTACTTAATAGAAAAAACGTTTCTTTTTAACCTTTTGTAAACGTCATTAAATGCTCTAAATGACTTATATTTACTATCGGAAAAAGCTTTTTTTTCTTTTTAAGACTTGTAATTTTTTCCGCTCGTGGGACTTGTCTTTTTTTGCAAAAAGCAGGACTTGTATTTTTTGCGAGTACTTGATTGGAAAAAAAAAACTTTTTTTCATCTTTGTTGAAATGTCTTTAAATTGCCAAATGATGTATATTGATTTTTAAAAAAATAATTTTTTTTTACTTGACACTCATTTTTTTTGCGGCTTCTGGACGTATAATGTTTTTAATTACGTACAAGTTATATTTTTTGGTGGTAATGGATTTTGATTTCGGTTACTTTATAGTTCTATAACGCGTTGAAGACTGAACAATTTTTGTCATGTGACTTTTTGACGTGAGAAATCACGTGAGATGTCACGTGAAAGATCACGTGAGAAATCACGTGATTTTAATTAGTAGGGATTATATATAGTCCATATTGTAAATAGCTCTGCAACATAGGTTTTCAATTCAATAAATGCACTGAAATTTTTTTTACAGTTATTTATACTTACTTATTACACAAGATTTTATGAAGCAAGTTTTTCTTCTCTAACCCTTTAACAAAGACTTTTTTTGCGTCTTTTAACGATTTTTGTAACTAAGGTAGTAAATGTTATCCACAAAATAAAAAAATTGATACTGTCAGATATTTTGTGCACTTCAGGAATACTTTTACTACATAATTACACGATCGCATAGTAAAAAACTTATGGAGTTAAGTGTGTAAACAGTAAAAAAAGTGTATACTCTCTTCCAGCAAAAAAACCTACTGTTGTGAGATTTCACCAAATATATTTCGAGTCGATGTGCCCACGGGAGCTGATACGAATAATGAAAATGCATGAACAGACTTGTCAGTACTGTCTGTAGTAATAAAAATAAAAATGCGTCATTCAACAAACCTATCTCTTACCGCAAAAACTATATTAATTAGTATTTTGGAATATCCTAATCTTAATGTAAAGTATAGGAAGAGCATTATAAAAATATTATACGTACACAATAGTTTATTATTTATAAAGTTTATTAAAAGAAGTGAGAATAAGTCCCCTTAATTGCAAAAGTTTTTAAAACACAAACAATTTTGAATTTTTTAGCTTACTCGTTTAATATGATGTAGCATGCATGAGAAGCAAATTACTGCATGTCGATACAATAAAATAAATATGCAATAAGCTTTCAACAGTGATGACAATGTTTACAGAGCTGAGGTATAAAATGCTGTGCAACTCAAATATCTCTGACCTCAAAGATATTCTTTTACTTATTAAGTAAAGTAAAGTAGACGTTATGAAAAGTATTTTCGTAGAGACTAGGGCAATGACGTTGAGCCGAATCGGACAATAAGCCGAATAGCCGGAGTGTGGCAAATACTGGGTGCCAAGGGGGGAGTCACGAAAAATGTAGGTACAATTCTTTGTCATGAGTCAGTTCTTAAGGAATCGGACCGACCGACGACAAAAAAAAAAAAGTTTGTGTAGTAATACCACATACATAAACTGCGTTGTGCGTTTACTAACAGATACTTCAAAACATAATATCTCCAATAGGTGGCGCATTAGTCTCGATGCTTTGATGGCATTCCACTACAAACTGCCAATAATGACGTCCCGGTGATCGGAATCTATAGTTTTTAAAATTTGCCGAGTTATTTGACACTAATACGAGTGTTGGTATACTAGGATGCCGATGACGGTCTCCTGGGGATCAGCACCGAAAGTTGATATACATATACAAACATTTGAATAGAATTACAAACAAGTCTAGGTATACGATGGTCCCGATGACGATGTCCTGGTGATCGACACCTGGAGTTTTTAATTATAAAAAGTTGAATAGACTTATAAACGAGTCCAGGTATACAAGGGTACTGATGACGATGTCCTGGTGACCAGCACCTGGAGTTTTTATTTATAAAAATTTAATTAGACCCTAACGAGAGTCTAAGTGTATGGGGGTGCCGATGACGATGTCCTGGTGATCGGCACCAAGAGCTTTTAGTTATAAATATTTAAATAGACTCATAAACAAGTATACCGACCGACCGACTACTTAAAAAAACGCACCCAATGTACACACATACATATATTAGCCCGCTCCCCGCAAAATTCAAACTCTTTTTATTAATTACCATAAAATACGAGTAATAATTATAACCATATCGTAGTTCTAGATAAATGAAAGTTGTGTCGGGATTAACCTCGTAACAAAGTTACATCTATTTATTTTGACGTTTAGGTTATTATTAGTAATTAAATGAATACATTATTTGAATTTCGCTGGGAACGAATTAAGATATCAGGCTGATATATATGTGTGCAATAATTTCAGGCAGTCGATAAAGAAGATTTTTTACATGAAGACTAATGAATTCTTTAAGAACTCTTGTCGGGCCCATCTCTTGATGAATTTATGAATTCCTAACGTGTACTTAACGACGTAAAATTATATTTAAAAAGAATTCATTAAGAATTCTTTTGAAGACATATGATCACATATTGAATCCATATTGAATTCATTCTAATGAATTCTTTAAGAATTAAAATAAAAGAATTCAATTACAATTCATATTGTGTTTCCGTGACTGCTGGATACACTTTTCTATCAGGTTTTGTCTCATGATTCGTGTTCCAAGAGATTGATGGCTACTTTTTAAGCAAGAGTGCATTTCTGATATTATAATGCTTGATGGATTATGATTTGCATCTATGTAAAGCTTTTCGGATCATCCTTTTTTGATGCAGCCATATCTGAAACCAATATTTTGTTGTAGATAATATATCATAATCGAATAACGTATGAAGGATCATTGTCATCAATTTATTTGTTCGGTCGTTCTGTTGTAATATAAATATGAAATTTAAATATGCCATAAGTTTGAAATGGAGGTATAAATACAATAGTCAATAGTAGTTTAAACTTGCATGTTAAATAATACTGAAATAAATATATTTTACTGTAGCAAAATAACTAACTGCTCATAAAAAAAGGATTAAAATGTAGTTTTATTAAGCACAAATTATCCGAAAACTGATCTCTCGGCCCTTTGTTGTTACTAAGTAATGTACTGTTAAATTAATAAAAATATTGGTTTATACGACGGTGTAAACGACGTAGTACTGAAATAGTTTGAGATAGTATAATTCGTGATTAAAATTGCGATTCCAATGATAAAAGCACTCTCATTAAATAATAAAAACTTGCATTACGTACATCCTTTTATACGTACGTCATTCGTGCATATCTTAACTATGATTATGATTGTAATCATATTTTAATCAATGTATAATCACTAATTCATCTCTATTTAATTATTATATTACTTTCAATCATTTGTGTCTATACTTTATAAAGAATTCACAAGCATTTTATTCAAGCTTCAATAAAGTTAAAAATGACAATTTGATCAAAAGTTACAGATGGTTTTCAACTGCTTGTAAAATCATCAAAATCAATGCTTTTTTTAAAAAAAACTCATGCTTCGATCAGCCACAACTGTATATCCAACGAATATTTTCGACCAAACCAAAATTTTTCTTAAAGCTTATTAAAAATTCCTTCATTTCAGCTCTGATAAAGTCAA